TAGAGTGGATATTATGAAAAATTTCTTTACTGAAAGAGTGGTCAGGCATTGGGACAGGCTGCCCAGGGCAGTGGGATACCCCATCCCTGAAGGTGTTCAAAAACCGTGCACATGTGGCACTTCAGGACATGGTTTAGCAGGCGTGGTGGAGTTGGGGTGACGGTTGGGCTTGACGATCTTAGAGGTCTTTTCCAACCTTAATGATTCTGTGGTGAGATCTTTACTTTAGCGTTGATTTTTCTCACTTGCCTCTACCCCATCTTAAACTTCTCCATGGAGATCTATGCACCATGGAGGCCGTTAGCGTGAAATCCCAGCCACCTGAGGTTTTTGGTTGTGTCTTTCCCTTCTAGAGGCAACGTGCATTACGGAGCTGTCGGTAATGATGGCGTGCTGGAAACAGAATGACTTCAACGATACCGCTTGTGCCGAGGAGATCCGGATGTTCTACGACTGTGTGGCAAAGGCTGAAGTAATTAAGGCCTCTTTTGTGTTCTTTAAGGCTAGTAGTAGGGCAGGAGGAAGCCCCCAGGATAGCGCTCTGCTGCTGTCAGTTGACCCTAACCTAGGCCATTTCTTTTGATTTCTTCCAGTTTTTAATCTCTAAAGTTCCAGCACTAGCGAGGCAAGAGCAGTCACTGCTTTTCTCTGTATTGCATGGTAGTGCTGAACGAGGGAGAGCACAGTGTGGAGCTGTTAAGTGGGACAGTGATTTGTGTGGTGTGAGATGTGGATTACGTTGTCGTCGGGGAGATGTGCAGCGTAGGTCAGTTTCTGCAACTGCTCCGATTCGTCAAATCAAGAAATAGCTGAGTCGGGTGCCGACCTAGTACCTGCATTATCCAGTCAGTGGGGGCGAGTGGTAAGTTAGGATTCCCAAATTCCAGTCTGTCATCAATCTGTAAATAGTTCTGTGCTTGCAGGAGTGAGAGTGGTAGAGAAATAGCCAGTAGTTTCAGTAATCCTCATAACAAACAGAATTTTCAGGGTACTTGAGGCAGTTAACAGCTGTTCTCAATTCTCTGAAAATTAGGAGTTCTTTTAGGCTGTTTCTGTATATGTGCTAAAGTCGTCCTCAAACTGATTGCAGGTTTCAAATTTTTTTCAGTAACTGCACCATCATTTATTAAATAGTTATTTACTGTTGTGGTTTGACAGCATAAATGAAAAATATCCATAATTAATTTGGTAGATTACAAAGAATCAAATTGAATAACAGAAAATAAAAGGAAAAAATCTGACTTGTTACTAAAGTTTGTAATGTTGTTAACTAGCAGTACTGAAGAGTATCATCTTCTCAAGATGTCAGTCAGTCATTAATGACATTGTTTAAAGGTCATCAGCTTGTGAAAGCCTCGTGATTATGGAGCCAAGCGCTATTGTAAGTGTTCCTGATCCTGAAAGAAATAACATTCTTCTGGAAGAAACATCCCAGTACAGTTAGTAGTAGTCTTTGGGGGTGGGCATCAACTCGGCGAATAAACAGAGGTAATGTTCTGAGGTTTCTTTTTCTCTTGCAGAAGGAGCGCAAAGCTCAGAATGAGGACGCCCTGTCACCCAGAGGAAACCTAACTTCAAGCCAAGTGAACAAGCTCCTGAGGAGGTTTCCTCAGATCACACGTTACGTGTAGCGTGCTTACTAAAGGGACTGCGGACAAGCAATTAAAGTCGGAGTATTTGGCAAAAGAGTGAAAACCAGGCTCGAGTGAGCGTTTGATGTGGAGTGGTCTCTGTCAGCACAGCGGTATGGATCTTGACCGCACCTTTGTTTCCAGAGCAGAAAACACCTGTCTTGGCCGTCAGCTGACTTTGTTCATCAGGTTCTCGGGTCTTGCGGTCTTGGGATTTCCACAGGGTGTTGTTCAGCTAGCCACGGTGCGGAGTCAGGTTCTCGCTGTGAAATAAAATCTCCTAGGAATGCACATAAATGGCTGTTCTAACAGTTAAGGGGTGATTTTTCCTCATGTATGCGCTTCCTGCCAGACTTCTGAGCCGCTATCAAAACGTGCTCAGGCCCAGACCTTGAGCCAGCTTAAAACTGATAGTAATCTCATGACTCGTACTCCTACATGTATGTGCACACAAATTGATTCCTCTTGACATTTTTTTAATGCCTGCTGCTGTACAAGAAGGCTGTAGACTGAGAAGGAAATCTCCAGCAAAATACCTGGTTGATACACAACACATCGGTAGGGATCAAATATAACTTTAACGTGATTTAGGCCCCCTGATTTGCAGGTGGGAGAGGTGTGGTGCCATGTCAGATCGACTGCGTTGTCTGTGCTATAATAAAATAATGCAGGACGGTTGTTTGGCTTGGGCGACTCATAATCTACAACAAAATGTTCTATTGTTTTGTTAAAGAAACTAGAAGGGGGAGAGGATGTTCAAGCATGGATTGATATTGAAATAATGCAATTAATTACTAGTTTTGATTTGGGCTTTTGTCACTAGAGTACGGCAAAACCACCAGCAGGTCCCTGTTGTTTTAGGATCAGTACCTGATTGGCAAGAAGAACGCAGCGCCTCAGGGAACTAATGATTGAACTATTTGTATCACTTATTTTGGGGGGCATAAAGAAAAAGCGGAGTACGAGGAGCGTCAGGCACGTGCAGACTGTGTGATTACCCACATGTGACTGTAGAGTTTGCGTGGAGCTGGGGCTGGCTTCTCTGGAGTCCCAGGCCGGTACCTGTTCATCACATGCATGTTGGTCACGTGTATGCTTTCAAGCTGCTGAAGCCATTTTCGTTTAACTGTTACTTACAGTGGCTCACTGGTGGCTTGTCCCACAGGGTAGCTTATTCTGTTGCTGCTATTGTGGCATAACTGGGTCTTTCAGGGGACTTAGGGTCGGTAAGAACATGATGTCCACATCGAAGTTTGGGAAGACACTTTGGTTCTATGATGGTTTGCATTTCCAGTCCAAAAGATGCTCTCTGAGGAGAAGAGCTACTTGCTAATTCTTTGTTTCTGGAGGAGACGAGCGAAGTTGGGAGTGAGGAACCAATGAATTCTACATTCACTTCTGCTGCTGATGGCTTTTTTTTCTTCGTATTAAAACTTACAAGTACAGTTTTGCACCTCTTAAGCTGGCAGCGATGCTAAGCGTACCAAATTCTAGTGTCTGTGAAGAACTGTCTCATCGTATAAGAGGCTGTAAGACAGAAACTAACACTTTGTTGTTGTATTTTTACTTTTGAATTTTTGCGCGGCTCCCACTAATCTGGACAGCTGTGTTGGGATTTTGCTGCTTCACAGTGAGTTTCACAAGTTCAGTTGTTTGGGGTTTTTTCTGAACTTTTACATGTCTTCTGTAAGCTTAATATCACTGTCCTAAGGTGTTCCAGTCCTTAAAGGAATACGTTTATTTGGAGGAAGAAGGTCGGAAAAAGAATGCTTTTCAGTGCTTCTTTTAAAAGTACTCCAGCAGTTCTTTTGGCTTTGGATCCCATGCTGTAACCAGAAAACCTCCGGCTGCTGATTGTCCTTGGCAATTTGAGCTGCTGCTGTTTCCCCGTGTCTCACTGTTAGGCGTACATTGGGTGTCAGACGCGTTCTGTGGCACGCTCACCTTGGGGGTCGTTCCACCAACAGCTCGTGTGTGTAACTGCAGTGGGTGACACTGCCCTCTGAGCGTGGGGCTGGTACCACCCCGTGGTGCTGCTGCTGGGGGGTACAAGAAAAGTGGGTTCTGGTGCTGAGCCTACTGGTTAAGAACATTGCCGCAGAGACCTGTATGTGATTGCGTGGTGAGGAAAGAATTAAACAAAAGCTGACTAGCTGTTTTACCCTCCTAAGTCGGATTTACAGGATTTAAGCAAATCTGCTGGAATTCCTTGATCTTACTCCTGTTCCTTACAGCTTGAGTATTAGACGAGCTCTGGGTATGATTGCTATTAACTGCCTCTCTGTTTAGGCTACCACTGACAGTCTCTTGGGGAGCTTTCAGCTGGTTTTGACAACTAGTAGTCCTGCCAGTTCAGGAGAAATAGGTTGAATTCCAGAGAGCCAAGAGCGTTTTAGAAGTTGGTACCTCATGTTCAGAAGGGTCAATACAGAATAATCTGGAAAAATCAAGACTGAAAGACTCTGTAGTGAATCATAGACTTATAGAACTGTGCTTGTATCAGGGCGAGAAGATGATTTGTGTTAAATAGTGGACTTGGATATTTACAACTGCTTCAAACTTGCCCACGCAAGAAAGTTCAAGATAGGCTTTACCTTCTCTTTAAATATGATTCCTATCTAAACTGCCGTAGTTACACTGGTGTAATTTCCTTCTTGGTCTTGCTCTCTACCGTGGAGAGAGCCTTGTAGCCACGAGAAGCTTCTGAGAATCTGAGATCCACCTCTCTCAGGAGAATGTCTTTCCATGTGCCAGAAAACCAGGGGGGGGTCTTGGCAAGAAGGAAGTAGTTCCAGAAGAGGACCTGCTGCAGAGGAGACGACTGCAAAACCCACAACGTCTTTGCACAAGTTGTCATTCCTCCAGCAACTGAATACCAGACTTGGACTTGTGTTGCTTTTGGTGCACTGGTCTGTGCTTCCTTCAAAATCACCTTAGCTAGGAAACTGCTTGCTCTGCGAAAGCCTTGCCTTGAGAGAGAAGCAACTTACAGACTACTCTGAGAGAAATCCAGTGCAGGCTTTTGCTAGAGGTTTTTAAACTGGTTCGTATGTGTCAGAGGCGGAATGCAGCTGTTTCTTTCCAGGGCTAAAGGGCTAAACAGGTGACCGTCTTCAGGAGCTCGGAAGGGGCATCAACAACATCTCTACTCATGACCCAGGAGCAGGTTTCTCTGAGTGCTAGCAGATTTTCTGTTCCTGCCTCCAGCATATCCTTTCCTCCTGTTTTTACTGGAGTAAGCAGTTCTAAATTCCAACACATTCTCATCTTTTCATTTTGTTTTGGTCCTCTTTGCCAACATGCTGTAGCACTTAAGCTATTTCCATCCTCTGTTGCCCTGATCATCTGCCTCCTTTGCTAGGAGGATCTAGGAGATTTGCTCCTAATTAACTGAGTGTAATTCGTGGCCAAATCCGCTGTGTCCAGAATGCACCGTGGTACAAATACACTCAAGGAAGGGCTCCCTCTCAGTGACTCCCACTCAGTGACTCCTGTAAAAGATCCAGCCCGTAGTGGAATTTCCTTGCGCTTGATGAGTGACTTCAGGATGAGGCAACACAAAACTGTCATGTGAAGTGAGTAATGGACAATAAGTGAGGGAAGAAAAAAAAAAAAGAGGCTTTTTGTCAAGCCAATGGATTTTTTATTAGCCTATTCCTTGTTTTTATGCTGAAGGTGTCTTTGGAAATGCTGCTTAGCAGACTTGGCCAGAAGTGAGCTCATTTCTTAAGGTGACCTTCGTGCTTCATGCTGCAGAACACCAGGAGTTAACCCCAGAATATAAATATAGGAAAAGCCTGTTAGACTGAGCAGAGGAGCAGCACAGAGAACATGTTAAAATCCAAGATTGAACAGCTTCAGATTGTCCAATTCCCTTCTTAGATTTAATAATGTTTGAAACTGTTGTAGCCTCTCACCCTATTTCATACGAAGGAGCAGTAAGCTGAAAACACTAAAAAACCCCGTAGGATTGTTCATAGCAATACAACAGCGACCAACCCTCTGGAAAGCATCCTAACCAATCGAGTGAAAACAACTTTACAGCCCAAGGTCAAGGAGACGCTCGGTGGAAAAGATCTCTGGATGCAACACCCGTGATGGTAAGATGCCGGGCTGAAAATGGGGAGCGCGCCCAGCTTGGTGGGTGGAGAAGGCTGTGCCGCCTGTGAGTTTTCCGCGGGGCGAGCTGGAAGCTGCTTGACGTCAAGTTTTCTGGGTCCCACTTACCTGGGTTCGGATCTGGGGAAAGTTTGGCCCCGCGCCGCTGCAAGCAGCGAATCGAGGAGCAGCGGC